TTCATCTCTCATTAGGATCTTCCATAGGACCTCTCTGTAGTTTGAATCAAAAGCCTTAAGTCGGGTCAAAGAAGGCTATGTGATGATCTCAGTGTTGCTTGCAGCACTTCTCCTGCAGCTCTGTAGGAACAAAGATGATATCTATCGTGGCTCTCACTGTTTTGAAACCACATCAGGACTCAGGTAAAATCTGCTTAGTAAGAAAACTGAACGTTTTGAGGAGAATGTGGGTGAGGATCTTCCCAGCCATGGACGGGAGTCCAATTTCATGCTAATTGCCGGAATCCAATCGATCCCCTTTTTTGAATATGGTAATGATTCTAGCATCTCTCAGTCACAGGGAACTTTCCCTGTGATCACATTGCCAGATCTTCTTAATAGTATACAAGGGTGGATTTAGCATTTTAAAAAGGTGAGTGCAGATAGTGTAGTGCATCATCACCATAATTAACACAATTTTTTTTTCTCCAGTTAAAAAGAAAATAGAAATGTTACTAATGTGCTAGAGACTATGGCTATATTATTCAGTTGGAGTTCAATGCAAAAATAAATGGAGCCTTTTTGGAAGGTAAGTTGATTTGCTATGTCATCAGGGAAGCGTTGGATCGGGTGCCCCTGAGCTGGGGCAGCACCTGGCTAGATAGCAGCCTGCCTGGGTTTCCACCACCCCAGGCGCCATCCCCGCTACCTTCTCCCAACAACAGCAAAGGCATCAGCCTTCCTTCGACCTTCTCGCACTGCCCCAGGGACAAGGCAGCCCAGTCCATGAGGCTGAAGTTGGTTCCTTATTCCTAGGTCCTTATTCTCGGTTCCTTATTCCCAGTTCCTTATTCCTGGTTCCTTTTTCAAAGCTAATCTAGACCCAATAAAAACTTGTTATTAATGAATTCCACATCCTAATGAAAGAGAATTTCATTAGCTATGCATATATACTAATTCATATGTAAAATAATATTCCACATCAAGTACAGAGCCCTAAATGCAGGTCAGGTTAGGATGGGATTATGGGGCAAAATACTTCTTAGGCCTCCTCATATTTCATGGCGATGTTACTGGAGAACTGTACCCTGGAGCAGTCCCCAATGCAGCCCCCCCAAGCAGAGGTGGGGGCTGAGCTGTGTCCCCCCAAGGGCAGCAGCAGCAGCCCGTGGGGGAGGAGGGCTGCGGGTAGGGACACGGGGACCCGCCCCCACTCCGGGGTGAGGGCACCCCCCATGGGTGGGGGTGCCTGCGAGTCTCTCAGGCTGGGCCCCCAAGCGGCAGCCCAGCCCAGGCCCCTCAGGCAGGGTGGAAGGCCCCGGGGGGGGTAACATGGCGGTGACCGAGAGCGGAAGCTTACCGGGCCCCTCTGGGTCTTCTGGCTCTGCCGCGATCCCACAATGCCCTGCGCCCAGAGCCAGCGGCCGCTCTGCCTCCCTGCCAAACCCCCTCCCCCGGAGCAGCGCGCATGCGCCGGCCAACCACTTCTCTCGGGAAGGACCCGGGTCGTAGGCGGAGGAATGCGCATGCGGTGCCAGGGTGGCCACACCTCCCCGCGCGCATGCGCACCTGCATCTCCGGCCTGTGTCCAAGAGCCGCGCATGTGTAAACTTTCCCGCCCCCAACTCTTCCGGGCCGGTAGTGCCTACTAGGCGTGCGCATGTGCGGGTTTTACTCCTCCCGCCCAACGAAGCAACTCATGCGCATATGGTCTTGCAGGTGGCCTCAGGAAAGCATGCGCCTTTTCACCACGTACATGCGCACTCAGGCTCTGGTCCCGGTGCCCTTCATTGAGCACTAGCCAATCGCGGACCTGCCCGCCCCTGTGCCGGGTCTCCTGGCACTGCGCATGCCCACTTATGTCCCACAGCCTGCCCTGCATGGGCGTGCGCGATAATTGCTGCTTGCTCTTTAAAGAATTTGCGAAAAGCTCTGAAATTGGAGATGTATACTTAAAAGCATCATCGTGCAAGTCTAACGGCCTGGTTTGGCGTGGCGTCACAGCTAAGTGACATCATCCCTCCCACTATGACGTCACCATGCTATCTCACCTGGTATCAGCTCAGTGAAGTAATTAGAGCACTGACATCATTACTGCAGGAATAAACGACAGCTGCTACCTCAGGCATGGCACTCCTGCCTTATGAATTACTGAATGCACCACCACTGCCCTGAGTGTTGTGACATCATCACTAAGCATGACACCACAGCCGTGCTGTCATTGTGCTGAACATCCTCACTGTACTACAACCTTCCATTCAGGACATGACTTTTCCAGTGAGCCTGTGCTATACATGTGTAACATCATCACTCTTCCTGAGCTGATTACATCAGCTGCTCCATCTGTGACATCATTCTGTGATACCCAAAGTACCCCCGCTCCCCCAATGAACACTGGGCACACAGATCTGGGTGCCATGAAGATCTTTGTAATAAATGCCTGAGGCAGGCCTCTCCCAGCCTACCCTCTCCCTAGCAAGAGGTGCAGCAGGGGATATTCAAGAGCATCATGGCAGCTGTCTGTATGGCACCCCAGGTCAGATCCTGGCTGAGGGCAGCTCACTGTGAAACTGCTACCGACTTCCAGGCCCTGGGGAGCCCTTGCTTTGAGGCAGAGGCAGAGGCAAAGATGGGAGCCCCAGGGTTCTCCACAAGATGGAGCCACTTGCCACTGGGCTGGGAGCCAAGCTGAGACCCAGTAACTCATACCACAGAATAAGTGTGAGATGGGGGCAGAGCAATACCACCTAAAAGGGACTAGCCCTTGCCCCGTCCCCACCCCCAGAGCCAGCCAGAGACCCTGCCTTGGAGGGAAGTGGGGGCAGCAACCCAGAGGGGAAAATCCCGTCTCATTCCCTGCCCCCAGTTCATGTGCCCCCAGTACCAATCATTTTCTTCCCCCTGAACAGCTCTGAAGTCCCAGTGATGTCCTTGTGGCCTACAGCATCCATGGGGGGCAGAAAAGCAATCACCGAAACCAGAAACTTTATTAGAAAACCACTGGCAACAAGCAGAGAACAGATGAACAGGTAGAGGGGGAAGAGGGCTGCTGGGGAATCCCCAGGACTTGAAAGGTGGGACCCCTCCCATCACTATGGCTGCCTCCCTTCCTCACCCCCACAAGGATAGCATGGCAAGGAATAGAGCTGCTTTGCCCAGTTCTCTGAACTCATACATCATCTTCCTTCAAGGTGGGATGACTTCAAGACTTAAAAGGTGGTGTCAGAGAGGGGCTGGTTCCCCCAGTGAAAGGTAAAGCTTCCTGCCCTACTCCAAGCTGGCCTGGAGGCAGATTAAATATGATGCCCCCTGAAGTGGAAAGCTCCCCTTCCTCAGCCAGTCCCAGTATGAGTCAGAGGTTAACAACATGCAGCTGGATCTTGCTAGCAGAATGATACCTGACTCAGCATCAGGGATGGGAGGGGGAAAGAAGGAAGAAAGGGGCTGCTGGGATCTGGATAAAAAGTGGGTGGTCTGCCTGAGGGCTAGGGCTAGTGGAGGAGGGGAAGGACTGTGAGGGCGTGGGTTGGGAAGCAGTAGATTTGTGTGGAGGGGACCATGTGCCAGGTGCCACCCCCTCATTAGGGTAATAAGCCACACCCATCCCAGCAGAGAGCTCTGCTCCAGCCTGGCCCCTTGGCAGGTTCTGGTGTCTCATGCTGCCATGAAGGGGCAGGAGCTGGGGGCTGCATGCTGGGAGGGTAGGGGGCTCCCCTGCTGAGCTGGGGGAGGGCAGGGGATGTCACCGATCCATGCTGCTCTCCTCGGGTGGGGTCTGGAAGCATATTCGTAGCAGCCGCTCGCAGAACTCCAGCTCCTCCTGTGGGGAGAGCAAGGGGTTAAATATACACTATGCTGCCACCTACTCCTCCTATTTAGTGCATCAGAGATGCTCTGATCTCTTGTCAACCAGCGTGGGAAGATAAGCAGGGTTGGCTGGGTTACGACTTGGATGGGAGACTCAAAGGTGCAGGGCAGGAGGCACCCTCCTTTCACAGCTACTGCTGGCCCCAGTGCCCCAGGGCAGTACTAAGGGGCACTACCTTGTTGGGGGCAGGGCAGGGCAGGAAGCCAGGGCACAGCTGGGGGAGGGAATTCCAGTGGTATTCTCTCTGTCCCTCCCTATTGCCAGGCTAGTGAAGATGGTGTCCCCTAGTACCAGAGAAAGAGTAGGTCTCATAACACCCCCTAGTGCCAGATGAGGAACTGGGGCATTTTCCATACTCTCTACCACCAGCAAGTGGCAGAACACCAACTCCCTAGTGCCAAGGGCACAGGCGAATCACAGCATAGGTTAAGGGGACACAGGGTGGCCCCCCATTAGGGCCAGGCTGAGGAAGAGAGACCCCCACCCTCTTTGCCCTGAGGTAGGGGGAAGAAGCATGGTGGCACCCCCTTGTGCAGAGAAGGGGCTGAGCTGGAGTGTGGCAACCCCAAGGTACCTAGATCTTACCATTCTGACCAAGAGGCTCCTTTCCTTTCCCCACTTTGGACCCATACCTGAAACTCCTCCTGATCCTGCAGCAGTTGGCAGCGAGCCCGCAGCAGCTCCTCTAGCCCCAGCTGGGGCTCCC